CTCACCGCAAGCCTGAATTACATGCATTTGTCCTTAGCTCAAAACCCTGTGTTTCTAGTCGGACCCTTCCAGGACTATCCAGCCACCTCGTTCAAAAATTGTCCGCTGCAGCAGAAGGGCTTCAGGTTTCCAACATCCGTATGCATAGAGACCCGAGTCAAAGCGCCCTTTGTCCCTGCTGCGCCATACATGTCTGAAGCTTGACCTTCTGTTGACGGCGGGTTTACGTAGAAGAGCCATCAGCAGATGCAGATCAAGGTGTCGGCGCGGCTGCCGAGCGCCCTCACCTGTGATGAGCCTTGTCGAACCACCAAGAAGGTCCGAAGAAGGGGACCCTGAGCCTTAAAACCTGAACTGCGCCCAACGTCCCAAACCCGAGGCCCGAAACGGTTAAAACCAGCATAAGGCCTTGGCTTGATCCAGAATCAGACGTGGACAATGTCTTTTTTGCGTCCGGGGCTTGCCTCGGGGTTCAGGGATTACGTGTGCGGAGGGCTAGGGAGTTTAGGGTGTGGCTTTATCAGTCAGTGTTTTAGTGAGCTAAGGTTCAGGAGATAGGAATGACAGGTTTCAAATTATGGGTCGAGAATCAGCCGTTAGGTGTGGGGCGTACATCAGCATGCCATTTATGGATACACTGGGCTGGGATTCCTTGCAATCATAATGAATGCAGGAATGTGGGCGGCATGATCCTCTAAGTAAAGGATATTACAATTTCATGAGAATTGCGGACCATCGGGTCCTGTGGTAGTTGTATGGGGGCGCTGGATTCTGTTGATCGGATACGGCTTTTGGCAGTGCCAACTTCAAGTTTCCGCCCTTGTTTGGTTCTCCCTGTTACTCCATCACTCACTGTCTTCAATGGAGTTCCTTATCGGAGACCCCTCGTTAGTTTGCACTGAGGGTTGTGAGATCATGTATCTTGGGTTCCCTGATTTCTACTCGCTATGTGCCGCAGAATGATGCATCCTTGTCCTTGGACACTATGATCCTGTTCCCCTAATATTGAAATTGATAAATTCCGGGCCCTAACTTCCTGAAGATCACTTTTTAAAAGGCGAAAACTACTTGTAACAGCGGCCACCTAATCATGAATTAGGGGGCTTGCATTGGTAATTACCGATTTTTTTCAATGGATAATGAGTTAATTAAGTCATACTTGATTAATTCATTAAATACATATTCAACCAAGTACTATCTAGTGTAATTGTATATTTGATTCAATGAATCCGTTATTCAGTTTCCAATGATTTTAAAGGCAGCCCTATCTAATTCTTTCAATAAACCCCTCCCTCGCCCCAATAGGCACCGGATTATCTACAATTAGGAGCCACACGGGGGGGGGGAACGTCGGTTAATTTTAGAGTCAAGCGATTACGCTTTCATCCTGGACCATCTTCCTTCACAGATCTAACGCCTTCCCAAATCCCCAAATCCAGAACTCCCCTGGGCAAGAAATTTTCAGTTCACGCATCCGCAAAAGATAGCGAAAACTGAACCTAAGCCCATAGTCTCCTTAGGTCCATCCACGGCTTCGGGGGCAACTTCTATCCAGGTGCTGCCAGCATTCCTAGTTTTGGGTGTTGGGACTCAGAGGCTGTTAATGCATACAATACATCTAGTGTCTTTATGTGTTGCGCTTTCATATTTACATGCGTCTATGCGTAGGGATCGGGGTCAGTTTAGGCATTTTCAGGGACAGCGGAATACATAGGGTCTAGCTCGTCATGCATAAGGATAGATAGGGCAGAGTTTTGTGACTTGGGGCTGAGCCGCCTAGGATTCTGGAGTCAGAGTGGTTCTCTACAAATTCATTGTGCCCCGGGTTAAACGGATTGGGGGTTAGAAGGGTTCTCATTCCCTTTAGCCCAATGTTGTGTACTTTATTTTCAGCGTTCAAAGCTTACAAGGGGCTACTTGATTAGGTTTCTGAACTTCATTTGCTAGGCCAGGATGGGCGGCCCGAAAGAATGCTGTCATGTTTCTCTGCAAGCCCAGCCCTAAGTAGATTTTTGCCTCCTATGACCCTGACAGCCCCAAAACCTGCAACCTGACCAGAAAACCTATAGAATGACCTGTGTGCACCGTATGCACACCTTGGCTGCTCACGCTCGCAGGTACTGGAAGAACTGCTGAGAGTAGCCAGCCGAGGTTGCATGTTTCCTGTTGTGGTTTGCAAGGATTTGGGGCGTGGGGTGGTCTTAGGATTGATGGGGAATCGTGGAAAATGGAATGGAAATTGGGATTGATCTTACACAGGGAGTTATAGGGATGTATAGGGCTCATGGGAGTCCTCCTGAGGATAGAATTTTCACGGTTTCAGGCGTTTAGGGTTGGGGACCCCTGGCTGACAGCGTCTCAGGACGGGTGCGAGGGTCAAGCTGCGCAAAAGCCCCTGGGCCTCTTCCATCCCGCTGCCTTCCCCTACTCTCGACATGATTTTCACGAATCCCATTCTTTCCTGGATTTTGAGGACCTTTATACCCTCCATGGAAACTTTGAAGCCTGTTTGTGGCGAATTTGTATTAATATACAGGGATGCTCGATGAGTTAAATCGGGTCTTTCCAGTCTAGGTTGGTGCTAAACGAATCCTGCAAGATATGATACTGAGCCATACCCTAGATGCTAAGGATGCCAGAAACCCTGTATCTCACCCGCAACCTTCCAAGCTCCATCAAGCCGTATGTCCCTATGTGGCAGTGGTTTGGAATACTTGTCAGAACAGTGCAGTGCAGCAGGCTGAGTTTTTCGTGGAAATCCCATGTCATTCAAGCTCAGGGTTCCCCACAGTCTTTAGCATGATCAGGACCTTCAGAAATCCTGCAGCTTTAGAGTTTAGACTCCAGAATTGGTGCCCCAAAAGAACGCAGAGTATTGCAGAGTTACCGCATCCTATATTGTGTAACCTCACATGTATAGCTCCCATATTCCTATACGATCCACCCCCAAAGCAGCCCGGAATATGCACCAGACGTCCCCGTCCCCAGCACCCGAATAGCCGCAGGATCGGCGCAGTCTGAATTGACACACCCTCCATCCTGAGCATCCAATGTTGAAACCTTCAACCCTGGTTCCCTTAACATCCCCAAAGTCCAAGCCTCTAAAGCCTCAGGCCCCCTCACCGCATAACAGCAGGATCCTCAACGTGGCTCTTCGACGGAATTCCGGCCCGGTTGAGTTCCGGCAGGGCATGAGGCTGGGATCGCTGTCTCACTTCAGGGTTCGATGTGACGATGCTTTTTGAGGCGGAAAGAACTGTTGAGTAAAATGAAATCCTAGGGTGCTTAAAGAGCTTGAAGGTGAACAAGTGTTTCATAATTTAAGACCGGGGGCACTCTGGTGCTTCAGGGACTTGCCTTCTCTTTTTACATACAGGAACCATTGTTGGCGCGGATGGCAACAGAGCCTTAACACGGCAGATGTGGAGAGTTCAGGTCTACGGGCTGTGAGTGGAGAGTGTATGTGGTGTAAGGCAGCTTAAAGGGTTTCGAGCTCGCACAGTTTCGGGTGTGGCGCTGGCTGTTCAACGTCAAGGGTCAAGCGTAGGGTGCTTGAGGACAAACAGGTAGTTTAGTTTATTTTTTTTTGAGAGGTATCGGGCTTAAGAATGGGAGCCTCGGAGTTCTGGGTTTGGGCTGTGACAGGTTGGCAGAGCTGTCGGACTTTTTCCGGCAGCGCCGCAGTCAAGAGTAATTAGCTCGGTTTCACATTGAGTCAGAATCGTAGGCCGTTGTCATCGTTCGAATCCAGGCACACGCAGGCAACAAAATGTCAGTTGCGGAGAATTCTGCGTACTGACTATCTAGTGCTTGAACATGCCCCTGCACCCTTCAGCGTCGAACACGCACAGCACAATGCCTGTGAACTTGCTCCGTAGACACTTGAGCCCGTTAGCCCTGAAGCTCACCTTTTTGTACTCCCCTAGCCCCAAATGCTTGGGTGGCGCAGGGGACTGTTGGGCATTCTTCAAAAGCTTCAGCCAAGTGGCTTCTGTTCAGAGGGATACAGTGGCTTGCCAACATCTAGCGTCCCCCAAACCTTTGCCTTACCCATGATGCTATACCAAAAGCCCTTGAGCTCCTGAGGCATCGGATACTTCCAGCCCTGCAGGCCCTCAAAGGGGCTTGCACTACACGATCTTTGTTGTGACCAGAATGTTCAGGGTGGACATCGGATTGTTGTGAGGTAACTGGGCAGAATTACGACAATTCCCAGGTTGTTCATCAGAAGGTCCGGTCCCACGCCTTGTAGTACATATGATCTAAAACATGCAGGCTTTGAAGTATCTTACATTCAATACAATCACATCTTTAAAATCAGCGATGAGTGGTCCGGTTCGTCTTCGCATGCTTCACTTGTTTTTCTACTTGTTCCTCCTCGCTTCCTTGCAAATTCTTGTTGCTGCCAACGGCACCAGCAACATGACAGGAGCAGGTCCTTCCGTCCGTCCGCCCGGAAAGAACGCGAAAGATCTTTAGTCTCCATCCTCATAGGGATCTCCGAATTGAAGCAGAACATTCTGCTTTAGGAGGGCCGGAATAGGTGCTCCAAATCTGCTAACCTTCCCCAAATGGCAGTTCGTGAAGGAGATGCAGCACAGGTTTCTGGACTTCAGACTGCGCTGAATTGATTTAAATTGGAGATCTAGGCCTTCTGGATTCAGAGCATGAGCGCACGGGGATATCATCGGCCCTGTCCCGGGATGCATATGACGTGAGATGTCAAGCATGTCTGAGCACCTGAAACTCATGAAGCAGCCATGCTATAGCGCTATAGCCCCTAAAGGGAGCAGGACAGTCTCTTCGGTTGGAGGACGCCCTTTTTTCCACAAGAACGGATATGTTGTAAAAAGGAGCCCAGGGGTAATTGCATCACATCTTGTTGAACAAGATCCCAGAACAGCAGGAGATATTCGGTGGCGACCCGCCCATTGAAGAGCCATGTTCCACTGATTGTCACCTCAGCCTAGGAACATAACAATACAATGGTCATCACTGACATGAGCAATTTCGCACTAATGTTGCCTTTTGACCCTTTTGCTGAAGTGCAAGAGGGAATTTTCGAGTTCTCCCGCAATGCTGCAAGGGGCATCTATTTTCTCAAACGGCATCACCCTGGCTTCGAACAGATTGACAAAGAGCGAGTGGCTGGGGGTATGAGATTTGTCATCACTTGCAGTCGTGTCGTAAGGCTTTCGCGCATGCCAGTCTTGCGATAATCTTTCAACAAGGTAGGCTCACATTCCCGTAGCAGATTTAGCCTGACAGAGGAATGACAACAGCAGCGCGCAGCTCTACATTCGAGATCCATGGCCTCAAGCCCTGACAGTCATCCTGCTTCGGAATCGGAAGTGGTTGAAAACCAAAGGAATGCTGTGCATCCACTGTACAAGAACAGCAGAACAATTACTGTAGATTCTGCACTTGTACGCATGTGTGCACCCTAAGCTGCCACAGCCTGGCTAGAACAACCCTCGTTCCAGAATCCCAAGGCCTCTGCTCTACTCGTGACACCCAGACCTCAAGCCCAACCCATATGCTCTACCTTGAAACCTTATGTGGCCTGGCCACTGGAAATCCCGGTATTCAGCCCTCAAAGCCCAATCCTTCAACCCTATCCATTACTGTAGATTGCTGCATGCAAACCAATGCAAAACTTCAAGTGCCAGCAATGCCAGGAGTTTGGGCCAGATCTGATTTTCATCTCGGCCGGGTTCGACGGCCACGAGGATGTTGCACATGCTGGAAGCATGCTGGAAGAAGTGGGGAGCTCTCGACTTCCGGATGTCATGGGTGTCATGGATGATGTTGTGCGGGTTTAGGGGTTGGGGTTCAGCATTTCAGGACTTTAGAGTTCAAGGTTTTTCGGCTCAGGGTGTAGGGCTCGGGACCCGTGAATGAACACAGTCTGGGGCCCAGGTAGCTTCCTAAGATTTTGAGCTTATTTCATGGGAGTCCTAGCGTGCTTTGTTGCGAAAATCGAGGAGTCCGAATTCATATGAACACGCATGTCATGTCAAAAGTTGTAGGGAGAGCAAGTGGGCCTTATATGAATCATTCAACAATGCAGTCATGCCCGGCAAGTACCTCGGTAGATGTATTCAGAGGTACCAATATAAAATCGCCAGAGTCGGACCTGCTCGACCGGCCTGTCTGTGTCACACAGCACACCACGCTTTAGCAGGAGTAGCCGCCGGACCCATCGCGGGAAATCCGTAAAGCCCACCAAGTCTTTCCACTGTTGGATGTTTTGGTAAGTCACAAGACAAAAGGCCTGTAAATGTCTGTTGTAGGATCATGTCCCAGGGGCCAGGTTGTTATAATGGTATGCCCGAGCTGAGGTTCACCTCTGACATACCGAGAAAAGACCCGGGAAAAAGGGATCCTCCCAAAAGAGGCCCGTACGATCGAGAACCACCCTGTATAATCTTGCTCGAGAACCACCCTGTATAATCTTGAGTGTTTACATTTGGGTTGTACGCTGTCCTTCAGGGCCTCTACAGACTCCAGACTGTAGAGCAAGGCTTCAACATACACTGCATGATTGACGCCATGCAGAGGGTTCCGGAAGCCATGTGGTTTTTCCACATGGCAAGAGACCATCGTATCCGACTCTAAGAATCCAGTATTGACTGGGATCTGTTTGCCTCATGCTAGTCACATGCGATTACTCTCCAGACGCTGGCGAGCCGCTGTCAAAGTCGCGCGCATGCAACTTTGGTGGAGTCCTGGGTTGCCAAGGCAGAGTAATGGAACACCAGCAGCTGGGGCCCCTCAACAACTGGGGAGAAATTGAAATCTGCGTTCACTTTAGCGCCTCCTCAGGTCTGAGGGCTCTGGGACTTGGTGTAATTAGAAGGGATGATCTGATTGTGGATTCTGCTAGGGCGTGAAGCTTAAAACTCAAGCCGCCGCCGAAACATATTCAAGAGGGTCTCTTCAGTGACATGCGGCCAACATGCGGCCAACATTAGCCTGATCAAAACCAGCTTCTGTTTCTTCTGTCAGGTTGCTGGCGGACCTAAATCTACCATCCTGCGGTTCCCATGCGAAGCCCAATGCTCTAAGTGCGCACCTGTCTGCGAGGATGACTTGCTTGGATGTTGCAACCTCAGCGAGGAGGACGGTCCTACGCCTACGCATTTCCATCGCAAAGTATTTGGATCTTCAGGTTTTCAGCTTTAGAAAGCTCCCGGTAAATGAAGCTATTCGCAGTTTTGTGGTCGTCCGTGCAGGTTGTATTGGCTGCAGTATCGACCAGTGTCCACCAGGATTATGTGTGGGCGACGCAGCAGCTAATGGCCATTGCTAACCGTTGCTGTCCCAGCCTCAGGCATTAGGAATTACAGGTCAGGGTTCTTGGCTGTGGGTTACAGATTCAGGGCCGAGGGTTCCGGATCTAGTTTCAGAAAAGGTCACGCTTCAGGGAGCCCTTCAGAGGGGCCATTATACTTTTCTTCGTAGATCCCTGAACTCGTGAAGGATACTCATGTTAAAGGAACCTCCTGACAACGTTAAGCTTAGCACTTGTTATTGTTGGCATCTTTGTATGAGGTTACTTGGAGGGTCCACAGGGCATACAGTATGCCGCATACTAGAAGTGCTAGCTATGCATGTTACGAGGTTCCCGTAGCCCTTTATTCGTGGCTGACGGCAGACGATCCTGGCTTCGTAGGTCTGGCAAGAGAGCCATTTGCGGGCTTGCGTTGGAGGCGCTCGCTCGCTCTAGTCTGGCCATTTGGGATACTGAATCATATCCTCGCGTTAGCATGGAAGAGACTCCACGTTGTAGCGGTGCTGGAGGTATGTTTTGGGGAGCTTTTGTCACCGTCTTGATGGACATAGTCGAGCCTCGCTGAACGCCTAAGAAGGATGACCCTTCGCCAGTGCTTGGCTGGTTGGGCGGTTGGCATTTGCTGCGCTACTTGAGAGTACCCCATACGACCCTACCGTGACTGAAGAGTATGATTTCAAAGCTCATAGGCAGCTTCACTCACGCCTGGCACTTCATTCCCAGGGCCCTTCAAAACCAGTGCCGACAAGCAGTCGCTGTGCTGCGCAGTGACAATGGTTTCCATAATTCTCGAGCTCCCAAATCTTCACCCTCATCAAGATCATGAAGTTCAATGCATGAGCCCGAAACCAAAACCCAAACTCCCTTGGATCCCGATCTAACCCCCCCAGCCTCCGTGATAAAATAATAAACTTGGATCGTACACCCCAAGCTTCTTTTTCTTCTTTTCTATTCTTCAGATCAGAGGTCAGGGACGCGTGATTTCCGTGCTTGAGGGTGGCTACAACACCCGAGCTGAGGTGCGCGGGGTTTGGAGATGTTTGGGGTCTAAGTCTTGGGTTCATAGTTCGGGATTAGGGTTTAGGGGTCAGGGAGGCAGGTTGCAACCTGTGGCCTGTATGTGGAGCCTGTCAGTGCACGTATGTCCAGCGTTTCACCTTAGAATCAGTTGAAGGCATTGAAGACGCAGAGGTCACAAGCTGGGTGCCAAGATCAACAGACTATGTTAGCATTAGTTGCCTGAAGCTGTGGACCTCCCCTGGAAGATGGGAAGGACAGCAATTAGGCAGGTGAGATGGGAGATTCCCGATATTCTTGCAGTACGTTGTCATGCGGCGCTGAGTGTAGCACACATGCGTAAATCAGTCAGATCTCATCTAGCAGCCTCATATCACCCAACGTAGCGATGTTTCGCAGTCCTGCGTGAACTTCGTGAATCAGACAGAAATCAGGCAAAAGCCCAAACATCGTTCTGGCTGCAGCACAGCTGCTGTATCGCTTTTTGGGCTCTAATTTCCTTATAGATCTACCTTGATTTGTTCGGCCAATTTTGCAGTGGCAGAGTGGTCGTGTGCCAGGTACTGTATTGATTCCAATCCTAGCCTTCAGGATTCATAACCTGAAGCAGCCCATCAAGATAATCGGTGGCTCGGGCACCTGTATTTTGAAAGGCACTATCATCTTGGTACATACCATGTAGAACTGGACAATAAAATTGATACAAGCCTCAACCCCTCAACCCCCTGCAGCCCGTGATTCGCGAACCACATGATAAGACGTGGATCACAGCTACCATTCATGCCTCTCGTGCTATTGTTCTGTAGAGGAATGCATTCTTATCCATCATTGTCCTCCCTATACTGGTGCTGTTACAATTTGGCTTTCGTAGTGACTAGCATCAATCTCTCTCACTACTCTTACTGCTGATGGCTGATACCTTGAGATTTCTGTAAACACCTCAGTCAGCAAACTCTTTTCAACCGTACACTCTAGGGCTGAGAGGGAGTGCATGTGGTCATATGGGACACACAGGTTGGAGCCTGTGCGCACCGAAATGTCTATCATCCTTGCTAATGTTTGGTCCCGATTAGTGTGGGGGGCCTTAATTGCGCAAAGTTTTCCCGAAATTATTCAGCACCCCTTGATCCGTTTGGGGGCCCTTAATTCTGTGCAGTTGCACAGCCTAACATGAATTGTCTGAAAGTAATTAATCAGGTAGACTAAAAATTACACAATTTGTGTTTTCCTGCAAAAGCTGCGCTCACGAGAAAGTTGAATTGGAAGGTTTGCCTCAAGGATTTTAAGCTTCAGGATTTCAGGTTTCAGGCCAGGTCCAAAACTATCGATTTCTTATTGAACCGCTTATTCGAGGAGGCCAGTCAATTACTTTTGCAAGGAAGTAGTCCAGCAGCTGCTTGGGTCCTCAATAATACAAATGTTTTAGGGGGCCTCAATTATCCGAAATTTTCGGGCTCCAGAAAGCAAAAGCTTTTCTTTCGGAATTGAATTTCACCGAGAACAGCTACGGAGCTCCGCAGCGCTTCTCCAACTGAAGTTAATTCAAAACCGATTCCGAGCTGAGGACACACTCCTCCTGTTGAAATTAATCCAAAACCGATTCTGAGCTCAGGACATTCCCCTCCTTTTGATTTGAATTTGAAACAGATTCTCAAATAAATTAAACGCGTATTCTGAGCTCAGGAAACCATCCTCCTATTGAATTTAAATCAAAGCTAGGATCCAGATTCGTTTGGGGGACCCCCTAGCCTGTTTCATTAATGACAGGCCCTATTTTGTTCGGGGGGATCCCCTACACTAATCAGCACCCAACATTGTAGAATCCCTGCATACCTGCTTGTCGCAAGACCTAGCCCATATACATGTGCCAAAGCCCTAAATCTCACTCATGGGCCACAATCCACAGGCAAACCTATTCCACTCTGTGTATCAGGCCTTGTCCCCGTTTGCGGCGGCTGTCTCGGCCCATGTGTTCGGCGCTGAGGGTAGCGGGGTTTGGGTGCAACCTCTTCTTGGGTTCTATACGTTACGGAAGTATACAAGCGGAATGTGGTTGTTGTTAGCTGCGGGTAGAGATTTCGCACCTTCAATCTCCAACCCCGTACGGCCCGTACATGTTATGACCCGTCATCAAAATTTGTGCACTAGGTGTTGCGCCAAGAGCCGCCGTGTGATGCGGAAACAAGTACGAACCAAACGCAATGGGACCACCCCAAAAAGCGGTGCCGTGCAGCTTGCAGACATGACTGCGCTTAGCTCATATGTAGGGCTCGCACAAAATCAGATTCTTCTAAGAGGAATCCCTGCAGACAAAGTACTCTTGGAGCAAAGGGCTTCGAAAGTTGCAGACCAGTTTGGAGCCAACTTGGAGCTCGCTGATTAAGCTCTCGTTTCATCAACCCAGGCGGACCTTGATGTACACCAGCCAAAACTACACCTTTCTGGACTACGAGGCCAGGGAAATTGTAGGAAGTATTACAGAGTTCAGAAGGCTTTTCAAATTCTATATCCTTCCGCAGTCATTACAATGCGGGCCATAGTCTCTTGGGGCATACATGGACATGGGCTCAACTACATGGAGGTCATGCGGGCTTTTAATACACCTTGGCCAGCAGGGATGCTCGGGGAATCGGATGGGTTCGACCATCAATGTGGCTTTTTAGTAAACCGTCGCAACTGCAGATGAGGCTTTGGCGATCGCCTGAAATGATACCGAATGCAGATCCCGTGAGACTGCGTACCACCACTTCTTAGCTACCGTACTTGGCTTTCACCTTCCGACTTCTTGGTGTTTACTGGCAATTTGAAGTGTCGCAACGATGAGAGAGCTGGATTCATGTGCGCGGAAGACATGTTACATTACCCCGGACAAACATGGAGCCCAAAATCCCTTGGTACAAATACTGCTGCACCTCCTATCTGACATCCATGGTGGGATGAGAAAACTGGATCCTTTCGCATCTCCGTGTTTCATATGAGTCTACATGGAGATACATGGCGTGTATATACATGCATATGTAACTTTATAATATATGTAACACACGCATATACATGAACTTCGACTCCTCCTCCCTTGTAAGGATGAAATCGTGCATCAAAGAAGATCTCCAAAATGCTGCAAATCCTGGGCCATAATCAGGTATATGGGGTGGTGCATGTTTTGCTGCATCCACAGGATTGAATTTTCAGCTACTTATCAAAATTCAGGCCGGGCGTGGCCCTGAGTTCATGGCCCAGCCCTTCTACATAATCGGAATTGCCACTGCAGAAGCCTACATGTGCCCATTGCAGCCAATGCAGAACTTCTGCACTATCCTTCCATAGTCTTGGCAAGACCTTCCAAAGGACCCTAGAAAATGCTCCATACCCCATGTCAGACGTCAGAAGCTCGCACCAGATGCAGGTGGAGTTGGCTACAATCGGGGAGGAGCAGTCCCAGGTAGGATTTAGGGATGGATCAAGGATTACCTAAGGTTCCAGCTACAGGGAAGCAGGAGCACGTGCCTGTAGTTTCACCTTGGGGTTGCTACGCAAAAGTCGCGAGAGTTTGGCAGTTGACACCACGTTCGCAAGTGGGGTGGCATTGTCATGTTGTGGTTCTTGAGAGGGAGCCTACTGCAAACTAGTATTGCGAATACCAGCAATATGCTGCTGCTGCAGTACATAAGTTCTTCGTCAAGCAGCGGTCGTCAGTTTTGAAGGAAAGTGTGGCTCCACTTAGAGCCCAGAACAGGAAAAGGGAAGGCTTCTTGCAGAAAGATTCGGATTTATGGGGATAAACAGCACATAAGACACTGGTACATATACCACTTTGCTATACACGGTTGCTGCAGGCTTCTGAAGCCATGAAGACCCAAATCCGGGGCCCTCAGCCCTGATCTCAAGGCACCCTAAGATCAGGCCATGTGTTGCATCTCCATCATATCATGTCAGTCCCTCAAAGTAGATCCTGCACCTAAGCCAACTCGTCCAGGCTGAGATTGCGGAGCGTTTCCGATTTCAACGGCGAGAAGAGGCGGGATAGTCTTGGACAATTTCCGTCCGGGGGCTAGGCTGGTTGAAGATTTTGGGTTTGGAGCGGTTATTGGTTCAGGGTTAAGCAGAAACCGTTTTGGGGTCAGGGAGTCTCAGAAGAGAGAAACCCTGCAGTCAGACGAGAATTTTTTACGCCTCCCTAAAACCCTAGACCTCAAACAGCTACGCAGCTACACCCTCAGCCCTGTGCCTTTGCCTCAGGCCAAGCGCCTGCGCCGCAAGCGAGGGTGGCTGTTCGACGATGGCTTACCACCCATGAAGAAGGCCGCCCAACGCTGCGGTCAGGATCATCATGTTTTCAAGACTAATTTGCTATGATCCCCGAGATTTATTGGTTAAGTACGATCCCATGTCTGGCAACTGCTTGGGCTTGTCTTGCTCTACACAGATTAGCCATGCACAACACATCACCATCAAAGCCACGTGCTTTGCCAAAACCCTGAACCTTGAAGCCACAGCCCCAACCCAAAACCAACAGCATGGCATTTTTTCCAGCGAGGCAAAGGAGGACGATGAAGAGAAAGTGGAAGGGGAAAGCGAAAAGGCGCGCATCAGCTTCAGAATCTTGACAACGTTTGAGGATATGTAACAGTTTCTCAAACATTGTGGATTTCTTGTAGGAGGTCCCGCAGTAAGGGGCTTATGCCATTTAAGAGCATCTGCAGCAAAAGGCCTCATTTTCAAGCACCGAATTCAGCAGACAGCAACCATGTGGGTAGGCCTTCGGGCCCCGAACTTCTGCAAAGGGAGCTTGTTGGCGTCGACGCACGCTAGCCTGTTCGTGTGATGTCAAGCTGGCAAGATGTGTTTAGGCTTGGTGTGCAAGTTTCCATATACCTTCATGAGTTATACCTTTTAGAATGTCAATTCGCTCTTGCACCGCCCTTCATCTAATGGTAGGTCCGAGTCCAAATATCCCCTCGCGCCCCAAACCACAAGCACAGGACGCCCTTCCTGCTTCCATAGGAATCAAGTCGCTTTTCCCTTGGAGGTGGACAAAGCAGAAGAGAAGGTGCCCGCCGACGAACAGGTCTATCCGATGGAAGGGAGTTTCTGATTTGGTGTGTGACTGTGTTTGTCTCTCGTGAACCAGGGAGGCATCTACAGTTCAGCTAGACCCGAGTCCTAGAGTCCAAATTGGCAGCATCAAACGGGCCGAAGTCCACTACCCACTTACAGTAAATCGAAGCGCCCTCAAGCACGCCGGTCCGTATCGTGAGACACCAGCAAGTCTTTGTTCAAGCCAGGATGTTGACGTGTCTATCCTTCAGTGGTTTATTTCGATGCAGCGCATAGTACGTATATGTTCTTGAGAACCCCAACTTCCCGTTGAAGATGGCATTGTCACCCTCTATGTAGTCACCTCTCCTTCCTGCTAGGGATGTGTGTCTTCAGTTTTTTTCACTACGCCCAAACATTGAGTGGACGCAGGCTAAGCTACCAGGTGCAAAACGTTCAACGTCAGCGTCCAGAATACAGCACCCTGAAGCTGACAAGTCATGCAGATGGCGAAGATGATTGCTAATTTGCTTGAGCCCACTCTGAGTGATAGTTGCAACCAGACTCCCGAAGTAGACCCCAAGGGGCAGAAGGGAGAAGGTTAAGAAGAAAGTTCGGTGAGGGTCCAAAGTAAGGATTTCTCCGCCCGCTCTTTTCAGCTTAATTTCACGAGAAGGCCTCGCTGCAACCACAACAAACTTAAGGCAACGACCCTCCAATGTCAAGTTTTGACATCCGGCACGCATTGCAACTAACCAAATCCTGTGATCGTTGAACACGGGTGAGTGGCAAGCTCAGAAAACAACCCTTCCCAATCGTCAAGCCTGCGCACTCCTACGCATCTTCCACCACCCCTGAGGGCAAACTCCCCCCGTCAAAAAAACCTTTGGACGTGGAAGTTCTCAAAATTCAGAGAACGTATTTTGGGGTGCCGTATGACAGGCTGCTAATGTCCTCGCTTGGCATTCAGCAGGGGCAGGACAGCAGATGGCCGATGTGCTCCCCCGAGCTCTTAGATATTTGGATATGCACCAGAGTCAGAGTCTCCAAAACACCCCGAAGAAAAGAATCCTTGATATTGGGACTCCAGAAACCAGTCCTAGACATCCGCACTCATTATCACTGAGACGTTGCATGGTCTAGAAATCGACAACTACAATGTAATTCTATTGTACCACAGGCTCTGCATGCATGCTTCGCAACCCCATATTTTTGAGCAGCATATCTTCGGGACCTCCTTCCCCCATGTAGGTCGCCGCTGACTCATCTACTGTACCCTCGCCGCAGGAGGCTCGTTTTGTTTAGAGCTGAACTGGCTTTGTTCCTTGGGTTTAGGGTTTATGTGATCATCAATTAAACGTTTCCACCGAGGAACAAAGCCCGACAACATCAATAACGATAACGACCACAACCACAACCACAACGAGAACAGAGCTCAGACAATGCAGTGGCAAGACGAGGCAACTACCTCCAAACGCCTGACAAGCCGAAGGCTCATGATGGTAACTGACCACCACCACCGCCGCCGTCACCGCCACCAC